ACATTTGAATATGTTGTACATACACATATGCCTGTGAAGATACATCTACGCGGGCTTTTGAAAGCATAGGTCCCCTCCGGGTCCTTATGATAGGGATCCCCCTAGCTTCACACAAACGTGGGGGATCAAATATATCTAGATATGGAATATAGGTAGGGTTTAGGCTTGTCTACCGGACCCAAACCATCCCCATACTACCTACACGTGAATGTCCGCCATACACGCGCCTGTGTTCCCAAGTAGGCATATCCACACTCAGCAAACTCGAGCCATAATACCAGTAATATCAACACGAAACCAACAAGAGATTCGGAGTAGAACACTGCCTCAAACCAACTCCTAAACCTTAAGCCGTGGACGCAAAACCCGAAGCCCGAGACTCTAAATCTTGTAATCATAGTAAGAATAAAGAGAATACCAATAAGAGTGATAATAATAGCGATAATAATTGTTAACAATGGTACTAATAACAGTAATAGTAATAATAGCATAAAAATAATAGTAATGAGAACCCCATATCATCCCTCATTGGCCAAGAATGAACCCGCACCTCATAAGCACCCACATGTCCCTTGAAAGACTTGGCTTCTGGGTTTCCCAGCACGCCTAATGCCCAATCCTGCCATGGGCGTCGGTCAAACAGCTCAGGGTGTGGGGCTTGGAGATAACAGTTTATATGGTTCAGGGATTAGGGTTTTGGAGTGGGGTCCCAGGACTAGAACTTCGGGTAGGCCCTCATAACCGGAGCGTTAAGTCAGAAGCTAATGCCATAGGATGAGAACAAAAGTCTGCATGACCCTAAGCACCTGATACCTTGAGAATTAATGTGCAATAGTATACCGAAGTCATGCAGGCTGCTGTTTAAAGATCAGCAGCAGTCTGAAGCACTGCTGCCTGTAGCGGTCTTCTGCACCAATGCAGGGGCCTAGATAAGTAGAATAGGGTTTGTGGAACATGTTAGTCTAATTGAACATAAGGATGATACACTGGGATTGTACATTGGACAATACTGGCCACTCTCCAAGCTTCTACAGTACATGATACGTCCAACACACCATATTAGTACAGCTTTCATGTCATGTTCCATTTGCCTTTTCCCGTATATGCCCCTGAAGATGCGGTTTAGGGGTTTAGGGTTTAGGTGTGTTGAGTGATGCGTGTGAATTTTCCAGGCTTGCCATGCTCCAGCTGCCAGAGGTAAACAGGCTATAGAAGACCTGACACAATTTTGTTTGCGGACCTGGAACTTTCTGGGAAGGGTTCTCTGCTTCTTACACCGAATGCCCAGCGTTCACAGTCACTAAAGTCCAAGTACCTAATTCTCATCTGCCCACCCTTTGAGCACCGCCGGAACCCAACCGCGGGCATTCCTATCCTAAAGAGTTTAACCCTTCAGGGCTTATCCTGCAGAATCCCCGAAAAGGCAGAACTTCTTGTCCTTGGACTCTTCTGCAGAACCATTCCAAAAAGAAGAACTCCCTGAATCCCTTTTTGGGGCTACCACGCGCCCCCAAAGAGCAGAAACCCCTCAAATCTCGGAATCGTGGAGCCTAAACCCGCCAATCCCTAAATTCCTCTGAAGCTCCTTCGCTGCGAGTGTGGACGCGTTGCCGGCAAAGTGGCGCCAAACCACCCGAAGCTCCTCTGCACACCGCTTTGCTTACTGGTGCTGAACAAAAGGTTTTCTGGGGGTGAATATAAGTAGTATAGTAGGGGTATATACCTCTACATAAAACTTGTGGAGTCTGCAAGGGTTACTCTAAGGCTAGTCTAAAGTCAAAAGCGTTGGGCCCCTAACAAACCTGCAGTTCCGATATACCTATTCTATTTCTGCCTATATGAGCTATAGTCCGCTGCTAGTATCCCCCTTATTAACCCCGAGATTAATCCCCCATAGAGGCCGCTTTAAGGACTTAAGACTATAGCTCATATGTGGCCTTAAGGGCCCCCCTGGGATTCAGGGGCCTGGCACGTATCTTTTACTTTTCTCATCGAGTTAGGGTTGAAAAGCTTAAGGTTTGGGGGGCTTTAGAGCTGAGGAACTCAGAGCTTAGGATCCAAAATCTGTGTCGAGCAGTTCGCTTGAGATTTGGTGTGGTAAGAATACAGAGTGCGTAGGGTTCAGGATTTAAGGTGTATGGGGCTTAGAGTCATGCTGTTGGGTTCCGGGCTGCTCCCCTAATACCTATCAAACCCCAGAAACCCACACCGAAAACCCTAATCACTAATCCCTGAACCCCAAAAACCAAACCCCTCAACCCTAAACACCCAAAACCTAAACCCTAAATCCCTGAACCCTAAACCCGAAATCCTAAGCCCTAAATCCCCAGATGGTGGGAGGCGTTTACTGTATGCTCGAGGGCATGGTTTCAGGACTTGAGCCTGCAACCCTGAGCCTATAGGCTTAATGCTATAGTTATAGGTCTTAGGGGTTTAGGGTCTAAATAGGGTTTAGGGTTTAGGGTTGGGGTTTAGGGTTTAAGGGGATGAGACAGGAATATATGTAACGTAAACCAGGACGACAAAGGGTCACGTAACATGATGTTTGGAATGCGATAGCTTATTGAGGGGATATGGGGGGGGAGGTTACATAAATTGGTGGCCCCAAATGACCCCAATATGTCATGAGCCTCACCGTCGGGACTCACGCAAAAAAAAGGCTTGACATTCTCTTGAGATCTCTACGTGGCACTTAGGACCCCTACTAAGGGTTACCCCTTAGGTACCTATAGTAGGGATATAAGGGAATCCCAAAGGGTTGAAGGGTCTAAGGTCCAAGCTAAGTCCCAAGGAGATCTTAAGTTCCTAAATGAGCAACCTTTTTTTGGTGGTTAAACCCAGTAAGATTCTGTTCCCTACATAAAGTACTAGACCTCAAAAGGAGGATAGAATCTTACTTTATATTGGGTACCATAGTATCCCCAAATAAGATACTACTCAAATAACCCGTATATAACCCCAGCTTCCATTTCATTTTCCATTTTCTTTTCCTTTTGATTCTCCATTATAGGGCCCTAAACCCTGTATTCTTGGGTACCATAGTATCCCCAAGTAAAATACTACTCAAATGCACGCCGGCCTTCCGGACCCCCCAGGAGCCGGGCCTTTCAGTTCCTACGGCCTCGCAGCCCAATTGCTAAGACTGCTACTGGGTTGCTTTTAAGGAACTTAAATTAAGTGACCATAATGGGTATATATATATAGTAATTTATAGGGTTGCCCCAATAGAGTAACTTAATTTAAGTTCCTTAAATCCCTATACTCCCCCAGTTTCCATTTCATTTTCCATTTTCTTTTCCATTTGATTCTCCATTATAAGGGGATAATATAGTAACTTAAAGTAAAGTTCCTTAACAGCAACCCAGAAGACTGCTAAGGTCTTGCGCAGCTATGAAGCTCCCAAGGCGGCCACTGTGAAGATGTAAGTGGGTGGTTGTCAAAATTATGGTCCCTTTTTGCGTACCATAAATATTAGGTGCCGTATTATAATAGGGGTCCAAAAGGGGACCATAATTTTGACAACCACCCAAGTGAACTTGTGTGAGCAAAGAGGGACTTCATTGAGTCTAGGGTGCCTATAGCCCCGCTTAAGTAGATAGAATATGGTGTATATATGGATCTTACTATAATATACCCAAAGCCATATTCTATCTACTTCAGGGGGACTATAACCCTATACGGTGTAGGTTTGGGTGGTTTGGTGTACACGATGCGGAGTGGGCAAATTTACGAGATGGAACCGGGCCCTAGCAGGTTGCAAAGTATGAAGCGGTTGACGATGCCTTGCTGCTGGACGACATCACTCTTTCGTCACATCACGGCAAAACCTAAACCCTAAACAAGCATCCAAACCTTACGTCCCCAAACCCTGAAGCCTACACCCCAAGTCCCAAGTCCTAAATCTGAATCCCAAACATTCCAGCCGACTGTAGGCGCCTGAAACATTACCAAAATTACCTGTACCATGTTGAGACATACTTGAGGCACCAAAGACTCTAAGTATACAAGGGGTCTAGAATCATGATGCAAGTACGTATTTCGGCCTCTGCATTCTAAACCCCAAACCCAAAACCCTAGATCCTAAACCCTAGTAGAATTACGTTAAAGCCAAGCTCGACCGTGTCGGTCCTGAGGACTGATACCCATGACTACCGGCGTGTCTCCGGCTTCCTTTTACTCAGATTTAGGGTTTAGATCAAGGCATTGGGTACAAGAGATGATAATAGCAACAGTAAACAATCGTACTGATTGCCAATATGGGGGTTGTAGGGGCTGTGGAAAAGAAAACGGAGACTTAGGGATACATCATGGAGAAAATGGAGGAGAACATCGAAAATTATTCAAAACTGGGCTTGATAGTGGTCTATAGGGATCAGGGTTTCCAACTTTAGGGTGCCCCTTTTTCGGGGTCCCCATAATTAGGATTGTAGGGAGTTTAGATTGGAGCTCGCCTATTTATGGAAGATACCATTGAGGGGAAATTGCGAAGGGATCCGGGTATCATGTCCATAAGAACTTGAAGATTTAGAGGCTACAGTTTTAGAGGCTTAGGCTAAGGGTGTAGGGATGAGAATTTGGGGATGGGAGGGGAGAGTTTAGAGTCTATGTCAGGGTTTACGGTTTGTTCACAATGAGAGTAATTCATTCATTCTCACACCACGGGGTCCTGACTATGGCTTGGCTCTGTAGGGGCTAGGGTTTAGGGCTTTAAACATTTGAAGGGCTTCAATTTCCAACACAGCCAAACTGTGGAACCCGAAATCGTAATTTGGGGACGTACAAGCCTGAAACACCCAAAACTAACTTGATCTTACGAAGGGAAGGAGGCGATATTGCACCGTGTCGAGGACAATCACCCTACAACAACCCAAAAAGCGAGACACTTGCTATGTGTCGAGTCGATGTGGTATGCATTTCTTAGGGGCAACACCCTCCCCAAACTGACATCGAACGTGAGAAGAGACCCTGTAGGGTAAAAGACCCTAGGCCGCAAGTCACTTTCAGCGCAATGCCCGCTCGGTGCTTGTGACGCTTGCATCACTTGTGGATGACTGCGGGCTGCCTGTCTCCAGATCGTCCTCTTCGTTGACTTCAGGGTAAAGATACTCAACGATTTCCTCAGAGCTGATTTGCGTCATCGACTGGATCACTAGTTCCAGCTTGTTCTTGAACTCCTGTTGCTTGCCACACTCCAATGCCAGGGCGATCAAAGGTCGCAGAATTGCTTGGCAAGCTTTGTATGTTTGTTTCGGCAGGTTCTCATACCTCCTCACCAATTCTTGAAGACCTTCAGGGAAAGAATCTATCCTCTGTCTCTTAGGCAACCCCACAGCCCTCAAATCAAACCCAGACCATGACCTTCAGGGAGAGAATCTAGGTCCCCGCCGCCAGCCAACAGAGCCGCGCATAGCAGCTCATGCACTTCTTCCTCACTGGTGGTTTTTGGCAGAAAGGGAGGACTCTGTCCCTACGGTAGTTCCCATATCGGCTCCATCATGCCGCCCAACAACTGTCAACTCTGCCCAAATGAAGTCTTTTCCATGTTTGCAATTTTCAATTTCCACTAACAAGCCACAACCCTAAACAATTCCCTATACTTACCATGGTAAGTTGCGCTCAGTTGTGCTTGAAACCTTGCGTCATGAGCTTCGCAGAAAAGGCCCCAAACCTGGGACATTATAAGGGCGTTTGGTTCAGGGTTCAGGTATTTGGGCTTCAGGCTTAGGGCCCAGGACATAGGATCTTGAATTCAAAGCAGAATTGGGGTTAGGGTTCATGGCTCAAGGCAATCACCCAAACCAATTGAACGTCCAAGAGCCTTAGAAACATGCCCCCGTACTGCCCCTCTTAGGTTCCTCTTAAATTAGGCCGCTTTAAAGGGAAACTGGGCTGATTAAGCCTAATTCAGCGGGAACCTAGAGACCTAGGGGAGTAGCATAGGGGGTGGTGAGGGAACCCATGAAACATGTTGCTCAACCAACTCAAAGCTACTGTGTTCGCAAAGCGACCCATCCCAGGTACACGATCTGCTGTTATCGTCAGTCCTGAGTGCTTGCTTCTCTTGGGTGGATGTAGGGATCAGGGCCCAGGGATTCCCCTAAACCCTGGGTTTAGGGTTTAGAACCCTAAGCCCTGAACCCTAAACCCTAGGCTGAGGATCTAGGATGTAGGGTTTTGTGTCACGTGTTTAGGACCAAGGTACAGGGTTTAGGGTTTTGGGGTTT